AGTGGAAGGGCGTGAGTCTGTTGTAACGGGTACACTGGCAGGAGAAGGTGGATCTGGAGGAGAACAGAAAAGGGACACAAGGTCAGTGTGGTGCTTTGTGACCTTTAAATACTTGTGCTCTTAGTCTGGGTGGGGGAGAGAAAATTGGTGAAATTGCTGGCCAAATCCTTTCCTTTGGTCTGCTTCCTTGATGCCGGGTTTTTGTGGTGGTGGGGTTTTTTTTGTAGGTTTTTCTGTTTTGAAGCATGATTATTCTGCAGCAGGTTAGGATGGAGAGGTGAAGATGTTCATACTACAGATGGTAATAAGTGGCAGAAAAGTTTTCTGCGGCTGTGAGTCTCTCTCTTGAGCAGCAGCATATACGCGAAAGGAGAAAGAAGAACCGGGACAGTGTTGGCATAAGAAAGGCTGAACTTGGGATGAATAAATTGAAGCAATCAGTTTCTTATGAGCACTGCAGAAGCAATATAATGGGATTTTTTTACCAGATCGAATTTCACGAGGTGCTAGATTCAGGACCGAAGTCCGTAAGGAAGAAAGCCTGAATTAGATAACGTGAGAGACAGCGTGGTTCTGTAACGCGTGAGAACTTGAGAGGTCGCTTCTGCTTTGTGTCTGTACTCGTTTTTTAGGCAGGAGTTGTCACTGTGCAGTAGTACCCCACATTAATTCTTTAGACTATTCTGTTGCCCTGGAGTTATCTCGGCCTTTTTTTGGTGATCATTCAGCAGTGCAATACAAACAAGAAATACGGCAAACTTTTCATTAGCTAAGTGGCTGTTGGTACTGTGCAGTCACCAGAATTGTTCAGTAATGTGAATTTGTTTGATAAAACGGCAAAGATTGGTGAAATGAATTGCTGGCATATTTCTTTCTACAGCCTTGTTTTGAACTCCTGCTGTTCATACAGTGTGTACTGGTGTAAACCGATGGACCTTAACGAGTTACTGCCTTGGAGTCACCTGCAGAATACTGTGGCTACGTTTGGGGGAGTGGGTACAGTCCCGTGGGCTCTGCAGTAAGTACAGGATGGTTTAGACTTCCAGCCTTTGGGAAGGGTGGAGCTTGCTAAAGGGATTGGCAGAATGAATGGCGGGACGTCGGAGGTACTTGCAGATGAAGCTGTGGTGTTGGTGAAGAACCAAAGAGGAGGAGTATGGTGTAGTCTTCAATCTCAGCTGAAGGAGTTTGGACTGAGAAGTGGAGGAGCCATAGCCAGCTTGATTTGTTTGGGGTATGAGACGGAGTGTTTGGTTATTTGTGCCTGATGTGGGAGGAGCTGCGATGTTAAGGGAAGGGAGAAGGCCTTACTTGAGAGGGGCAAAGATTTGCAATGCAAAATGACATGTTTGGAGTTGTTACAAAGGTCAGAGTCATTGAGCTTTAAAGTCTGTTTTTCAGTTGTTTTTTACATTTCAGTAACAAATATTTGAGAATCATGGATGGGGTGGAGCAGATGAATAAAAGAATATGAAAGGAATGGAGAAAATCTTACTTGGTGGGAGAAGTCAGCGCTTCTAGGACTGTAGTTACTGTTCCAACTTTTCATTTGCATGAAGAGCTTGGAAAAGTGTTAGGCTTTGCTTTAGGTTAATTTGACCTATCAGTTTGTTTACTTATTTCTCATAAAAGTGGGCAGTATATGTAGTAAAGGCATACAGAGACCTTTCTTTGAGCTTGTTCGTTGTGGTTAAGGGGGATATTGGTGGTGTGGAAGGTGAACACTGAGCAGTGCAGAGGTGAACTTGTTGAAGAAGGTGGTGTTTCCCTAGAGCTGGGACTTGGCTGTTGTTCCTTGTGGAGGAAGCTGCAGTAGAGAAGGTGAAATGACTGAAGTTCTTGTTCGCATTTTCTGCTGGAAATTACAAACCCATTTGTGATTTTTGTGCTTTATTTCAGCTTTTTTTTTAGACTGCTGTAAACTTGTTATTTTTATTATTGTATGGCTGTTATATATATTACATAGGTAGTATGGTACAGCTGTTCTATTAACGTGTAGATGTGGTGCTCGGGGACATGCGGTGGGCAGTTGGACTTGATGGTGCTGAAGATCCTTTCCCACCTAAATGGTGACGCGGTTCCGTAAGCAGGAGCTTCACCTTGCCGGTCCGTTGCTGGGAGCGGCTGCGGGGGCGGGGGCAACTCGGTAAGAACTAGGGGATGACTTCGCGTGTGTCCGGCAGTGCCTGGGGTGTGCAGCAGTCGGTAACCCCTTAGCAGAGGGCTGGTAGTGGAATTGGGAGCCAGGGAAGGCTGGGCTGGGCTGGCGGCCGGGCTGCTGCTCATGCTGGCTGTGGCTTGCAGTGCTTTGGTGTGAGCACAGCTGGGACGCTTATCCCCCACGCCCCGTAAGGAAACCCGTGTCATCTATCTTCTGTGTGTCCATCCTCTCATCCCCGAAAACGAAGGCCATCTGATAGACCATGGACACTGAGTCAAGCTGCCAGAGCAGTTTGGTTAGAAAGCTGTTCTTAATAGTATTCAGTATCCTGTTTCTTTGTGAACAATTGGCAGATGCGTTTTGTTTCACGTTTTATGTCAAATTTGTAATAGTAGTTAATTAACTCCCTTCCCACAAAGTTTTGATTGATCAGGCAAAATGTGTGGTGGCAGATAACTTGGGACGCAGTATGGAGAATACTGATTTATTATGCGCCTGTAGTAATGCTGCTTTTAACCGTCCCTGCTCCAAACCTCCAGGAGTGATGAAATGGTAGAAAAAATTCTAGCCATTTATATTCTGTGCAGAGCTTCTGGGCTGTGGGATGAGGCTCTGTGAACCATGGAAGAGCTGGTGTGCTGGAAAGGGGCTGTATTTACTGATAATTTTTGTGGATTGTGGTCCTTCTCATGAGACTCTCTTAATCGGTTTAAAATAAAGATGGGTTTTAGTGCATCTAGTGATACAAACCAAGCTTTATGATTTTTTTCTAGAGCCTTATAGGGTTCAGGGAAGTAGGATCATGTTAGAATTTTTATTTTGATAATATATTTAGAAAGTGATGCTGACGCTACCTTGGCACCAGTGTCAGCTTTGTAATATCAAAACCTGAAATGTAACAGGCTGTCCCTTGAAAATTGAACTAATAATCTGAGAAAGCATTGCTTCTGATGGTCTGCGTGTTGAGGGACCACAGCAGGAGGAGAGCAAAGCTGTTTTGAACGAGGTGGGGTGATGACTGCAAGAGGTGGGGTTAAGCCAAGCAGTGGACAAGGAGGGGACTGCGCTAGGTGGCTGGGAAGTGCAGGATCCGTTGGCTGGGTTGGTCCGTTACGTCTGCTGCTGTGTTTGCTGCGTTGTTGGGCAGCGTACGGCCAAGATGGTGAAAAGTGCAGCTGGTACCTGCTGCGGGCAGGGTTGCTGCCATTTCTGTTGTGGTTGTAAGCAGAATGTAAGGCAGAAGCTATGGTCAGCCCAGTACAAAATCAGCTCATTGGAAATCCGCTGTCCTTAAGCACATCTGTTAAAGCCTCAAGCTTGAGTTAACAAGGTTCTTAAATTGATATGTAATACTTGGTGTACACTGAAATAGAGCGTGTTGGGTATCCTGCACAGAATGGTGTTGTTGATGAGAACTTCAGTGCGATTAACTAGAAACAAACTGCGGGTTTTCGTGTGCTGCATCTTTGCTTTTATTCCATCTGATGTGGAGCAGTGAAACAAAAATGACCCACAAGACTGGATTCTGCGATAACGCTAACATTTTTCTCTACAAATACATTGTTCCTGGCATTACTAAAAATACTGCCAGTGGTGTCTGATGCCGTGAAGTTACTAGATTTTTCTTCTCCTCCGGGTGACTCCCTGGGTTCTGTGAGCTGCCATACTGGGGTGATCTGAGTCGCAGCCCCTCTGTCGCCCTGTGCTCCGCTTCTCCCCCCTGTCCTCCCCAGCCCCAAGGGAAGGGGCAGCCTCTGGCTTTCAGGCTTAGTGTGCTATGGAAGAACAGAAAAATAAATGCTGTGATTCAGTAATTCTCACCTTGTGCGGTGCAACGCTTGATCCTTAGTCGATTAAATGGTGGCTCCTGCTGCAGAGGGATGAGTACAGAGGAGTTGGTTTGTGCTTCAGACATCCATGTATGGCATTCTGGGGAAGTGCGAGACCCTGCAAAGCTCCCGAGTTGGGACAGTTAAAACCTTTCAGCAGTCTTGTTCTGGAGCTTTTTTCAAGCATCGGTGGACAGTGCTTTCTTCCCTTACGTTTGATTTGCTTTTACGCTTTGGTTAAGCTGAATCTCTAGAAGAATAATTATAAATTAATAGTAGACTTGTCTGTGGAGTTGATTTTGTTAACATTGGAGAATGTTCTTTTCTGTATGCGAGGCAGTTAGTTGATTTTTCTGTAGAATCATGTGAAAAGGGTTGGAAGTTCTGAAATGCTTATATAAACCTTCAGAACATAGCAGGCAATTCCTTGGTCTTCTGAATGTGTAACACGGATCTCGTACATGATTTTCCTAGGATGTAGCATTTTTTTTGTCTCAGTTTGATTATTCAGGACAAAAGTCTTTACTGGTGTGGTTCAGTTCCGTGTAGAACAGCTTTGGAAATACGGGATTTATCCTTCCATGTGTATTGCACAGCTATTGGAGTTCATGATCTTTAAAGGGAAGAGGCGGTATGCACAGTAAAAATAACTTAAACTTTTTAAACTGGACCTTCGTTTGGTTGTCTGAGCACTTGTTAAAGCCTGCTTAGTGCAGAGCCTTTCTGTGTTTTACGTGAAGAAGTGGGAATGGCATCTGGTTGAGCAGTGAAAGACTTGGACTTCTCTGGAGTATGTGACCAGGACCTTATGGACCTCTGTGGATAGTATTTTGCTCTAGAGTTTGTAGGGTAACATGGGTGATGTATTATTTTTCCTCAAAATGTGGTGTTATGTGCAATTCTAATGACAAAAAATGCAGGTGCCTGGTGGATCTGCAGCTGAGTGTTGGAAACTCTTCCCTTGAGAAAGGAATGTGCAGAATTTGGCTCCAGATGAAACTTCACAGGCGATGCCCTTCAACAGTGAGATCCCCAAGGTGCGAGAGCGTTGGGTCAGCTGTGTGTGGCTGTTGCCATACGAGGTGTTGATTGTGGAGGTGTGACAGAACCCCAGGTGTGATTTTTACGGGCTGTTTCGAACAACTGCGCTTACCCAGTGCCTTGCTTACCCTGCCTTTTTTCCTGAACCTGCTACGCTGGGCTGCACCCAGTGGCTCCGTTTTCTGTATTTTGAATAGAGTTTGGATTTATTGTCACATTTTTAGTTCGTTTTTACTTGACAAACTGAGTTTCTGCTGCTAGAATAATTTTGGACTGTGGGACTTCCAGACCATGCTGTACCTTAATCTGCCAGTGGTGAGCAAGTTCGAGAGATCCCTTGTTAAATTGACATCATTGCAACCCATTAAGGATCAATCTATAATAAATAATTGGATGTGTTTTAATACCTTTGTGGAAAGCAGTTGGCTTTAGCTGCTGATTTTGCTTTGGAAATACCAGTTGTCTTCTGTAAGCCAGAAGTTTCAAATAATAGACATCAATATTAGTTATCAGGGGTGGCTGTGAGGGGGGGAAATAAGAAATCGGTGAATTCTAGAATTTCTGGAACTATTGGAAAATAGAGAAATTTGAGTATTTCAACAGATGTAAATAATATTCTGTCATAGTAAATATTAATTGTTGCAAAGCTAAATTTCTTTTGTGTGTATGAATGGATATAAATATAAGTATGCTTTGTGAAAACTCGGTGAAACCGCGTGATACTTGTTTTTGAAATGTTGGCTCGCGTCTGCAAGCTGAATGAGATTGGTGTTCTTTGAGTGCATGCCAAGGAAGAAAGGAAGGCTTTTAATAAAAAATAATAAAACCCCAAGTTCTTTCAGTTTAATTACACCAAACTGTATACCTAGCCTGGGATCAGAGCACTGTTTGAGCGTAGTAACCGCTAGAACCCTGTTCTCTGGTCCTGTGTCTGGTGCACAGCACTGGTAAGTGGCGGAGCATCGCTGCTCAGTCGTGGGGTGCAGAAGCGTGCTGACCGTGCAGTGTTTGCTCCGTGGCAATAAGCCGGCACGTGCCAGCCGGGCAGCTTTCGGAAGTGAGGAAGTATCACGATGATGTCGCAGGGTTGTGTGGGTGTGCAGAAGACAGAAGCTTCAGAGGAGAAGGCGTCGCAAGCTTGTGCTTACAGAGAAACGGGGTGGGGGGCTGCACTAGGCATGGGGCTGTCTGAAGTACCAGTGCCAGTGGATAGCGTTTCCAAAGCTTTGAGGATGGTCACTCCTCTCCGAGGAGGTGACAGAGTCTTTGTGGAGAGGGGTGGAGATGACACTCAACTGATACATTTCACATAAACAATTCAGGTTTTTCGAGGAAGAGAGATGCAATTACTATAGTAAAATACAGTTTACTATGAAGAATGAAAGTAAATTCTAGAATTCTTGCTTTAGGGAGGAAAAGAGACTATTTGAGCCAATGCTTAGCATCATTAAAATCTGTTCAAAGATAGCTGATAACTGAAGTTGGGGCTAGTTTTCCTAATTGCTGAGGAACTCCACCATTC